GAAATAAAATAAAATAAAAAATTAAGAAATAAAATAAAACAAAAAATTAAGAAATAAAATAAAACAAAAAATTAAGAAGTAAAATAAAATAAAAGCATTAAGAAATCAAATAAGATAGGCCGAGGCACGAATGACAACCACGGTCTGAGAATTTTGTGGAATAATTAGCAGTCTGTAGCTGGAGACGCTCGGTTTTAAATTCTGCTCCCCTTTTGCTCTCCCAGCCGGCCTGGCTTCACCGCAGCGCCAGGCAGTAAATCTCAGATCTCCAGAAACTGAACTCCTTATTCAGAAAGAGGCTTGCTCAGCAGGAATCGGAAGACCTGACTTGGCCACGTTCGACTCCTGAGGATCATTTTGTTTGAACGAGGGCTGGCTTTTCCATCCTCCTCTTACTTATCTGAAATTTATCTGACGGATCTCCCCGGTCCCATCACGGGCACTTTTCAAACTGCACGGCTGCGATGCCGCTTGCGTTCGCGTTCCTGGATTCTGAGCTCATTTCATCCGATCCATTTGCCATTATTACGCGGTAGGTATTTTATCCTGGTCTGTGCGGCCCCTTGGTTAAAAGCCCCCCGATAAGAAGAACCGCGGGATGAACGGACCAGAACCCAGAGACGCAGAGAAGCGGATTTGCCACCGTCAAAGCCATGGTATCTTTCTCTGCCCCAGGATTTATAGATGGGGAAGACCCAGGGGGGATTGCAGAAGGAATGGGAGGGAGAGGAGACATGAAAATCGACAGACCGATGCGTCGGTCGGCGGTTTATCACATCGGTGGCGGCGTGGCCCAGGTGAGGAGAAAGCTTGGAAGAAGCGTTTCGGATGATTCGAAGAGACTCTGCCTGATTTAACCCGGGTTAGCATTAAAGGGATCTTCCTAACATCTGTGTAGCTCTTCTTTCCTTTGATGTATTAAGGCCTTAGGGCAGTGTTTCTCAACCTCGGCGACTTTAAGCTGTGTGGACTTCAACTCCCAGAATTCCCCCCCCCCCCCTTTTTTCCTTGGGGGGGTTTTGGGGTGGTGGACAACCTACGTATAAACCCCGCGGGTGGGGGGACGACTCTTAGGTGGTATTTGGT